TTGTATAAAATGGGTTATTATAATGCTAAAGAATTTATGGATGATAATAACCCCTAGGAACGGTGATCGCCACCAAGCTATTTCTTATTTGTTATGTGTTGTTAATTGTAACATACATGGTTGTAAGTTGTTATTTAAAAAAAATCCTCTGGGCTTGCTGTTTCTCCCTAGGGCAGAGGTTTTTTTCCAAACCAGTGGTAAATTAAAAAAGCGATTTTGAATAAGTATTATCTATAATCGATATTGAATAAAACGTTTATGTATTTGTACTACCATTAACAGAATACTTCGAAAATGATTATTTACAATAATAAATACGTTACATTTTATTTTGTTTCTTGTAACACGACCACTTCAGAACTTCTTTCTTACGGTGTGTTGGTAATATTATAAAAATATAAATGGACATATTATCCCTAAGTCATCTTGGTTTGAATCACATTATTTTAATGATATTTGGAATATACACTCACAATCAATTAATACGTGACATGTGTGTGTGTGTGTGTGTGTGTGTGCATAGACAAGTACTTTTTTGCCAGAAATACTAAAAAGATTTTCCATTAATCTAAAAGTACCTATAAATTTGTTTTGTGTGTTCTATAACTATTCAACAGTGCACTATTTCAAGTTATAATACCGGTGAAAACTATAAGAACTCGCTTTTAGTTTGTCAGTGAAACGTACGATATTATTATTTTAATATATGGATTATAAGGAATAAATCGACATGCATTTCATTGAGAATCACTAAAATATGTGGTAAACTCAAATAGAAATTGTCTCCTTTAAAAAATATCATGTATCCTTGTTAGGTCGGAAACTTTTGAGAACACCCGTGTTTTTATATATATATATATATATATATATATATATATATATATATATATATATATATATATATATATATATATTAATAATGCCTCAGAATTTTTTTAAAAAATCACGCAAATTTTCTAGGAATACCAACAACGACATAGTACTGCTGCATAGGCGAATGATTTATTCTAAGAGGATAAAGCAAATATTATACAGTCGATGCTGCAATTTGTGAAAAATAAGCCGTTTTTTGCAACGTATTGCGGGAATTCGAAACTTCGGCAAACAGACGTTATGCATTTCAGTAGTGGTTCAGTCTCATCGGTATCTTCGAAAGGCAGTAGATCTATGCTGTAGGCTGTATTCTGGTGGCAATATAGATTGGACGATACTAACTTGGAAAGACCAAGCTCATACAGAATACCTGCGCAAAATAGCAGCATAATGATGCTGTGTTCCGTAGGCCATTTTTGCTGGTAATAAAAATTTAATAGCAAACATCTATATTTTTAGTAGGGATTCTTAGGGCCACTATATATTTTGTAAAAATTTCTTTATAAATAATTGCTTTAAATAGACTTTGGCTGCATGAAAAACATCAAGGTAAAGAATTTAGTATAGTATTTATTTAGTCGCACCTGCTAAGGCCGGCCGGTTGACAAGGACGGGATTTTTTCAAAACTAGAGAAAAGTGGTTAAATTATGAATAACTTTCGACAAGTATTCTTGTAATCTTAAAACCTCTCTCAAGATAAATCCTATAGATGTACTATAGGATTTATCTTGAGAGAGGTATATAATAAATAAGTCGTGTTTAGGCCACCTAGCGTCTATGACCTTGAGAATCAATCAATTTTTGTTCGATAAATTGACTTTACCTATAGAATGAAGAACTTTTACTTGAAAAAAATATTCTTTTGATTTATTACACTAAAATTTATACATTTATATATATAAAAAAAGGGATTGCTATAATTTTTTTGCTATAAAATAAACCTTTAACTTATATTTTAATCCACCCCTGTGATTGAAAATTATCATATTAAATAAATCATTAGCCGTGATATATTTTTAACTATTTCATTTCGTTTGAAAGTTTCACTTCTAGCGCGTGTTGTTGTTGTTTCACTTCTGTGCAGTTCAGCACACATGTTTTTTTTTTCTATTAATATTTCTAGAAATTTAAAAAAACTTGTAACGGTTAATTGGTATTATGCGAGTACAAAATTTAGGAATAGATTTCTTTCACATCAATATAAGCACTAGGATTAATATCGATATCACTTCCTTTTAAAAAGGGCGGCATCACTCCTGCAATTTTCCTGGTGTTAAAATTGTTCATATGCAACGATCAACATTTATCATCAGGTGAGCACTCTCTTATATTTCACCCTCATATTCTGGGCTGATTTATTAATCGTCAGATAAAAGTTATCCGTCAAATAAATCAAAACTTGACTGAATATAAGAGTTAAATAATTGAACTATTTTATTCATACAACTGTACTTTTTGCTGGTTTAAGTTGTTATTTGCCTTACTATTATTTCTTTAAAGATGATTGAAAAATCAGTCCTGAGAAGGTATATCACACTATAAGCAATGTTGTCTGCTATTTTATAAGACACGGTTTTCAAACATGGGCACATCCTTGAAAGAAGTCATCAAAGTAACACCTATTCTAAGGAAGCGAGTTCAAACTTTGTCATAACAAGTGTTTAATGTAGTGGACAGAAAGCTAATAAAATCTCGTATTACTCAATTTCCTGGCGGACTTTGTGAAATGCGATGGTTAGTTTTGCCATTTGTTACGGTAACGTTGGCACTGTGCTCTTAATATTGACATTAAACAGACAAAGGAACGCTTCAGGATTATCTCCACCGAATGAAAATAATTTTAAAGTATTATGACGGGTTGATTTAACTTATTTTTAAATATACCTGTAGTTTCAAGTTTAATGTGGTACCCATGAAATAATTGTATTAAATATAAAATAAAGTTGTCTTATTAAAGTCCTAGAAGAATCAACACGTCTCTGTCTTGATTTAACACCTTCCAACTTATACCAGGACTTTGCTGACACAATTAATACTGATGAATGTACCATAATGAAAATTACAGTATTGGAGTATCTTGAAATCATATTTGCTTAATTTTTAATGAAACATAATTTTGTTTTACTAATGTATAACAACGTGTCTGTTTAAACAAAAAGGATTATCATAGCACTGAATACTTGAATGAAAATAACCCCTGAGGATGAGGTGACCGCCACTATGCTAGTTTTACTTAAATTCAAAAAAATTGCGCTAGATTTCTTACTGGTTCTACATAGTACAGAGGTGTTTTCTGAAAGTGGTAAGAAATAAAAAAATGACATTCAATTTTTTATATATATATATATATATATATATATATATGTATATATGTAATGTGCTTTATCGAATAAATATCATTCCATTCTATTTATCAGCACCACCATGACAGACCATAAAAATCCACCGATGACCATAGGCCTACCCTTAGTTAGCGTGGGTTTTTTGCTATGACACGATGTTTGTCATGCGCGTAGTACCTAATGGTTGTTTTCATTTTCTAGTTGATATTGCGAAAACGCGATCACTGACAAATTGCGTCTCTCTGGTGCCTTTCACAACACTAATGGACGATATGGAATAGATATCTTTACAATGTCACTACACGGTTTTTCTCGTTTTAACAACAATAATTCAATGATTCACGAAGAGTTTAGATTGTGACTACTGAGGCGGCATTAGAACAACAAAAAATTACATTAATAAAAGTAAGACCGACTTCAAACAGCAAAAATAAATAATTTCACATTCTGAATTCGGTGCTAAGGCATACTAATGTATAGAAGTATTAAAGCTCCGGTTACCGATTGTGAAACTATTTTATTTTTTTTTAGTTTTTAAGTTACTCTTTATAAACCTTTTGAGTGAACTACATTAAAATTTTATACCCTATTTGTCACTATTAGTAATTTATTTAGTCTCAAAGTCATATGTATAACTACCCGTAAACTATATACTATTTAATTAAAAAAATAATTATCAAATCAGTTCACAATTGAGGAAGATATCGCGTAACATACCTGTACATTCGAAGTGATTACTTTTACCGTCTGGAAAGTAGTATGATGTTTTGAGTAAGTTAAATAAAAGATATTCTCGAAATTATTTGTAAAATATAATAAAATATAACTAGGTAGGAAAAATTTCTGAACATCTTAAAAGTGCATAAAAACTATTCATCCGGCGCTCACGGATAATATCAATGACCTTAACGTTCATACTAGTTATTAATAAAGTACTTGGTCGATAAAAGAAATAGATTTAAAAAAGCAGCACTCGCAGCATGTCGAAGATCGAAATGAACATATTAAAAATAGACTAATTGACATTTATGAAATTATACTACATTAAGGTTATTTACAATATAATGACAATAATGTAGTATATAAAACATAGGAAAAACTTCCGGTTCCAGTGTCGAACAGTGAACGTCTGTTGTTGTTGCTCGTCATAATATAATTCCAATTTGCCGTTAATTTCTGCACAAACAACTTAAAACTGTTATCAACGTGGAAGTAGGCAACAAAAGCAAGTGGTGAATATACATATTTGGACAGCCGAGGTGCAGAAAACGAAACAATTTCATCGTTGTTTACACCATCGAACAGGTTAGAAAAGCAAAATGATTCTTCCATACTTCGATGACAGTTTGAGGTACCAAGCTACTAAACACAACAGTGACCATAAATTACAGATGAGACACACTGTTGGTATTACCCTAAATATTCAGTAATCTATGGTATTACCTAACGCTTAAATATTGTTACCACCTCGAAACTGGTGTTGCCAGCTCTAAAATAGTTTTTCTTGCCAACTGCAAACTAGTGTTGCTTACAAAAAGAAATCAGTATTACCAACACCAACCCAGTATTGTCATGCTCAACCAAGAAACTACCACTCACATGGATAAACAAATGAAAGATTTCTGGAAAACAATGAAGGAGGAATAGGCAGCGCAAACAAGGGAGATAACCGAAGCAGTCACTAAAACGTTTCAGAAAGTATTAACAAAAAATTAACTGTTCTTGTGGAATACAATAAAAACCTGAAGACGGAAGTAAAACTCTTACATGTAAAAATCAAGCAAATGGAAGAGCACAGAAGGAAAAACAACATCGTCGTCTTTGGAGTAAGAGAGGAACAACATAATGAGTCCCTATTAGATTCCACCATAAAATTGCTAGAAAAAAACATGAATATACACATCGAATTACATGAAATAAATAACGCTTATAGACTAGTAGAAAAGAAAGATAATAAACCTTGTCCTATTCTTGTAAACTTTACAACAAACTGGAGGAGAAATGAAGTTCTCAAGAACAAAAAGAAACTGGATTCAGGAATCTACATTAAAGAGGATCTCAGTAAAGAAACTCTGGAGAAGAGAAAGCAACTTCTGCACAAACCAAAAGAAGAAAGGGCAAAGGCCAATATCTGTTATTTTCTTAAAGAGAAAATAGTCACTAAAGAACCGAAACAAGCAAAAAGAGATAAGAGCTAAAGAGATTGCACCGATTCTCCAGACAAATTGCCAAACCAACCATCCACGTCGACTTCAAAGAAGATCAATAAAACAAACATGCTAGACTACGTGGCACGGGGTAGATCCGCGTCGCTGTCATTACCTACAACCAAAAAAAAAACGACCAATAGACACCGATAACAGGAAACACAAATTAAACAAAAAAAAGTATCTACCCAACGAAACAACCAGAACACTCACCCCAAGACCGCTGGTCACCGCGGGGAAACGCGACCACTACCCTCCGAACACTACTCCCCTACCTCAAAAGAATGTTTTTGAAATGAGGATACAAAACACCAAATATATACACATAGCAACATACAACACGCTATCTTTATGATCCGCAGAGAGCCTACAAGAACTTTTACATTCTTTAGAAGATATTAAATGGGAAATTATCGGCTTGAGCTAAGTAAGACGTAATGGTGAAGCTATTGTGGAGTACAGCCAGTTCATATTGTATTACAAAGGTGAAACACCAGGAAGACTTGGAGTGGGATTCTTAATCGAGAAAGAATTTAAAAACTTTATTGTGTAAATAAATGGTATATCCGAAAGAATTGCTATATTGAATATAAAAATCCCTTCAGACAAAGAAATATGGTCTATTGTGCAAATTTATTCACCAACCGAGCAATCTACTACTCTAGAAATTGAGGCATTTTACTCGTCTCTTAATACCGCCTTTAAAAAACACGCACATAAAAACTGCATTATAATGGGCGATTTTAATGCACAAGTTGGGGAACCAAGGAACGGAGAAGATATCGTACTCGGCCCTTACAGTAGTGGAAAAAGAACAAGAAATGGACAAAAACAAATAGAAATGGCTTTTGAAAACAACATGAAAATACTTAACAGTCAAATAAAAAAAAGCTTCTAGCCGGTGGAAATGGGCATCGCCAGATGGACGCTACAGAAACGAAATAGACTACATTCTAACTAACAGGTCCAAATCATTTGACGACTGTGACACTATATCAAACCTCAATTTCAATAGTAACCATAGAATGCTTAGAGCATGTCTGAACACGTCATCTACACTAAAGTTAAAGAGGCCCTTCAAAGTAAAACCAACAACATCGAACAACAAAGCAAGAATAGCCACCATCAAAGAAAATCTCAACTCTGTCACAGACTCATCTCTTCAGCACTTCAACACTCAACAGAAATACAATATACTACACGAAATACTAACAGCAAGATCAAAAACCAGCACTGAGTGCAAAACGAAGGATAAAAGACACTTATCAGAAAAACAATTGAACTCCTAGAGGTCCAAATTAATTAATACCTTAAACAAAACTAAACTCATCCGGGAGCAAATAGGCAAACTGAGCAAAGAAATAAAAAACCAAATGGGAAAAGATAGAAAACATTTTAGACTCGAGACTTTTAAAAACACCTTAGCAAGAATGGAGGTACAAAAAAGCCTCTTAAATTTTATCAGAACATAAAAACTGGATACCAAATCTGAAAGACCGCCACTGCAAGACAAAGACTAAAAGGTCAGACATATTATCAATAGCTACAAACTTTTACAAAAACTTATATTCTAGCAAAATACAAGTAGACAATACTGATTTGAATAACAACAATAATGTGCCACCCATACTAGCAGAAGAAATAAATAAAGCAATTGAAACACAGAAGAAAGATAAAGCTCCTGGTCCTGACGAGATCAACAACGAATTGCTTTTAGACTGCAAATACTACATTGAACCTTTACTAAAATACATTTTCAGCGATATATTCTACATTGAAGAAATTTCAACACAATGGACTACATCAACGATTATCCTGCTTCACCAAAAGGGCGACAAAGATGAAATAAACAACTATAGACCCATTAGTCTAATGTCCAATATTTATAAAGTTTTGCAAAAGTAATCCTATCACGAATAACCAGAATTCTAGACGAAAATCAGCCCAGAGAGCAGGCGGCTTCAGGACAGGATATTCAACGCTAGATCACATGCTGTAAGACAAATTTTTGAGAAGAACAAAGAATTCAATGTACCATTCTACTGCTGCTTTATCGATTATAACAAGGCATTCGACTCAATAGAACACGAAAATATCTGGCACTGTCTGAAGAACCAAGGCGTCGAGCATAAGTACATAAGAATTCTAAAAAACGTTTACACCAACAGTACAGCTAGGAGAAAATTAGAAAAAGAGGGAAAAGAAATAAAAATAAATTATTTACAACTGTCCTAGAAAAAATCTTTCGCAAACTAAAATGGGACCAGTATGGACCAAACATAAATGGAGAAAAACTAACCCACCTACGCTTCGCCGACGATATTATATTTTTCGCCACAACAAAAGAGCAACTACAAAACATGCTCGAAGACCTGGTCGCACGTTTAACAATGAACGCTTCTAAACCCAAATCCATGAAAAATGCACACGAAGACACTATCATCATAAATGGCGAGCCGATTGAGTATGTGAAAGAGTACACATATTTAGGACAACAAATCCCAACCATCGACATAATGTCAAAGGAAATTGATACTAGAATTGGGAAAGCATGGAAATATTACTGGCAGCTAAAAGAAGTAATGAAAAATACAGAAATTAAGATGTCCGTCAAAGCAAAGCTTTACAACACCTGCGTGCTACCAGTCCTAACATATGGCTGCCGAACTTGGGCACTTACTAAAATGCAAAACAAGAAACTAGAAACCTGTCAGACAGCAATGGGGAGGAGCATGCTGAATATAAAGAAATCGGATAGAATAAGGAACAGAATTATTAGGAAACGTACCGAAATAGAAAATGTAACCAGGAAAATAAGAAAACTCAAGTGGAAATGGGCAGGCCATATAATTAGGGGAATTGAGAAATGGAACAAAACCATTGTATTTTGGTACCCAATAAATGGAAAAAGAAAACGAGGTAGACAATTTCGAAGGTGTGAAGACGAAATAAAGGCCACAGCATGGAAAACATGGACTAGAAAAGCAATGAACATAACAGTGTAGAAAAAAATGGAGGGGGCCTTTGCCAAAGTTGGGCAAACAGACCAAGTTGTTGGTGTCATCGACTAACCAGATGCGTGAATATAAGATTTATGTTTAAAAAATGTGCCTGAATAAAGGCTTATATTAATTATTATTTTCATTTACAAATCAAACTTACTTTTTAGCGATATTGCAGTAATTGTCCAGAATGTCTGCCATTTCTTTCTAAACACAAACTAGCACGTCTTTGTAAATCGTTTGTTAAACTTCAAAGAATATCTCTATCACTTTTTATCACATTAAATGCGTCTATTATACGCTGCTTGAAATCACTAACACTGTATACACTAATCGTTTTAGTTCGGCCCACAAATAAGTCTAGAGGTATTAGGTCTGGTCATCTTGTCGGCCAGTTCTCAGGTCTACTGTGACCTATCCACCTATCACCGTATTGGCTGTCCAGATATGCGCGCACAAATCGTTCATACTGAGCTATACATCCATCATTATTTTTTATATAGAAGAGGGGGCTAACGAGCATGCGGCTCACCTGATGTTAAGTGACTACCGCCGCCCATGATCAACCGCAACACCAGGGGAATTGCAGGTGCGTTGCCGGCCCTTTAGAAAGGAGTAAGCTCTCTTCTTGAAAGCAACCAGGTCGTATCGGTCTGGAAAAATCGCCGGTGGTAAACTATTCCACAGAGAGGTTGTACGCGGAAGAAAACACCTTTTGAAACGTACTGTGGTGGACCGCCAAGCATCCACATGGTGTGGATGGTATCGGGACGTTTGCCGCGTAGTGAATTCACGAAATTTGGCGGCTGGGATTAATACGAACAATTCCTCAGAGCACTCTCCATGGTATATGCGAAATAAAATGCAAAGAGATGCAACATCTCTTCGCAGTTCCAGTGAATCGAGCCGATCGGAAAGCACTCGGTCGTCGATGATTCGAGCCGCTCTACGCTGGATGCGGTCAAGTGGAAGAGCTGGTACTGGGGAGCCCCAACCCAGAGATGGGAACAGTATTCCATGTGTGGCCGAACCTGCGCCTTGTAAAGTCGCAGGCGATGTGCCGGCATGAAATACTGTCCCGCTCTGCTGAGCACGCCAAGCTTTTAAGAGGCCAATTTGGCCTTTTCTTCCAAGTGACCCCAAAACTGCGCATCATGATGTCAACGCCGAGGTATCCGATACTGGCTGAGGCAACAAGGGGGAGTGCCTTGAAACTGAGGAGATACGACAAAGGGTTCTTTTTAGCGGTTAACGCGCAAACTTGTGTCTTCTGGGGGTTAAACTGGACTAGATTTAGTCGCCCCCAATCAATCGTTCAGCTAAAGAATCGACTTCAGACACAAGTTTGTCCCGGCACTCGGAGACGTTTTCCCGAGAAATATTGGCTCGGCCGGTGTAAAGAGCATCACCAGTGCTGTCATCTGCATAGCAATGAATGTTACGGGTTTGCAACATATCATTGATAGTATTTTGACGGCCCAATATTATTGTTAATAATTAAATTCAATATAAAGGGGCGTCAAAAATAGTCTTAAAAGATATACATATATTAAACAATAAAATTACATTAATAACCATAAAGTTAATATAAATACATTTCAGACATTAGACCAATAACATAGTAAATTAAAGGCAAAATATTGTCTTCCATAATAAATAAATTTATCAAAAACTTGAAAAAAATATTTAAAATAAGATAAATTATAGAAATACAAGTCGAAAATATTATAAAAATAAGGATAAATAACATTTATAAGATAATTAGAAAATTTGTTAAAAATTGTCTAAGTCTTGGAAGGAGTTTACGTATAAAAGAAAAGTTTTCTAAGTTATGGAAGATGTTCATGTATAGATGTCTTGTATAGAGGAGGTTGTATATATATATGGGGTGGTCGGGAGCCCGACTGCCTGAAGTACTGTAGCACAATGACTAGTCCTATATTAGGGACTTATGATATTAAAATCACGTGATACAAAAGCAATAATATA